ATATATATATATATATATAATATAAGAGATCATAAATATAATAAAAATTCTTCCTGTCAAATGTGATTTGAATAATAATAAAGAATTCGGGTGAAATAAAATGTTTTGAAATTTCATACGTAGAATTTTTGTGCTTTACAACTCGACAAATCGATTAAAATTTCAAAATTTTTAAAAATTCGATATTGGAATTTTTATTTTTTCCCTATCTTGAAATTTTTCCATGTTTCAAGTACAATGTCGTTATTAAGTATAAAATCGATTGACTTTACGTGTCGTGGGTGTGTTCTAAAGTAACGTTACATCGACGAAACGAAGCATAGCGTTCGGATTTTTGATGTTTGACAGGAACCCGAAGCGAAATTGGAACGTCGACCAAACAAACTGGAAATGAATTTACATGCTTCGCAAATAAAACACTGATTGACCGGTCGTTCAGACACGGATTGATCAGCGTTATTTAATTAACGGGGCTCGAATCGTGGGAATGGGACTTAACGCGACCTCCAACTCCACTGGCTGACGCCAGGGCTGTCGAGTAAAATCGATTTCGATGGCCAAAGATTCTACCGTTTCGTTTAAAAACTATACTCCGGTCAAATTTAAAAAATTAAATTAATCGAAATTAAGATTTCAACAAATCATTATTTGTTTTTACTGACAATATTACGTTTGCATTACTAAAATAAAACCTGTAATTTAATATTTAACGTTGACTATAAAATAAAAATTAGGATAACAACGCAAAGTGGAAAATTCCAAACGATTCTTATTTTATTGTTAAAAAATAGAAAAACATAAATAATGGAGAATAAAAAAAGCGAAGCCTTGAGAAACCACCCTCGCATCTGCTTCCATCCTATTTGGTTCGTGAAGAAAGAAAGCATCGAGCAAAAAATCAACATGGAGACATATGGAGAGAGAATGAAAAATACGAAAAACATAACCGAAAGGAAAAGAAATTTTTGCAATTGTCACGTAGAAATGGTATCGACGGGGGAAAAGTGCGTAAGGAAAATCGAGCTGCCGTATTAGAAAGAGAAAGGACGAGAAGGTGAAGACGTGACGCGGGCAAGCGAGAAAGAGAAAGAGCGAGAGAGAAAGAACACCGCGCGGCTCCCTCCTGAGATGACATCTCCTCGTGACCTTGGAACGGAGACTGACCTTGACCGTGTCAACCCCCACCAAGCCGGTCTAACGCGTCCCGGCTGCTCCCCCTCCACTGAATTGGCCACCCCACAGCACCCAGAGTCGCGTCGTATTACGCGAATGCGATGTTGCTCGGTGCTAGTGGTGCTGGCTGCTGCTGCTGCTGCGGCTGCGGGCATCGTTGCTGCATCGACCGGCCGCAGCACAGACTGCCAGCCCCCTCGTCTTTCACCCCTCGACTCCCTGGCAAACCCGTCATGACCCTCCCGTCCCACCCCTTGAATTGCCGCCAAGCAGCTCGCTGCCGGCGGATCGCGTCCCACCGCCCTTTTCATTCTGTATATCTATATAAACGTCTATCCGCGTTTGTGGTGAAAGTCGAGAGGAATTGTCGCGTAAATGATGTCCGCGAATACCCACCATGGAATATATATATATATATATATATATACGTGTATCTATTTATCCTGGATGTTCATAGAGATTAGAGAAACTGTCACTGTGTAGGGAGTAGTGTATTTGATCGAGAATTTTGGTATTAGTTAGAAATTGCATCGCGTGATCCATCCGTTTGCAATGCTATCGTATGTTTTTTGAAAAGGTTCGCTACCCATATCAAGGATGCGCGAACATGAAGCGCACCGTACGGAAGGAAGGAAGGAAGGAAGGGACGATATTATACGTTTGGTCGTTTTTCAAACCTCCCCTGTTCGGTCCGCTTTCTATTTCGTACGATATTGAATATCTTGAATGAAACTATACTCGTTGAAGAGGTTTTGAATCAAAGTTTAGAATTATCGCGATAAGAACTCTTTGCAAATAAAAACGAAGTAGTTTCATCGCGGCAAAAGTTTTTAACGGATTTATAGTCACATGGAACGACGTACCGATTAGTCGCATTTTTCATAAGGAATATTTTCCGGAGCAAGTGAATATGTATGCAAGCGGGAGAAAAAAAGGGGAAAAACATGCTTTTACCGCGGAGAAGTCAGTCTCCTTCCACTCTTCTATCATTTGAGCTGCTTCGAAACCGCTCTCAGCGTCCCGCCACTCTTTTTCCGCCCCTTTGCTCCTTTCTCTTCCCTGCTAACCGAGATCCCATCTTTTCTCTCGCTTGCACACCAAGCTAGCCCCACTAACACCCATCCGCGTGGAACGCCGCTGTTCCAGAGGAACCCTTTCCCAGCGATAATGTAGGTGAAAATATAGGGTGACGCGATACAAGGCGTACTTCTTTTTTGCGAATTATTTTGCCATTTGAGAAGTATTGATTCGACGAAAAAGAATTTATTTTCAAGTTGTTCAAAATTTTTCGTTAAAAAATGTATAATTTCAAAGAAGACCGTCGATGTTTAGGATGATTAATAAAATTTTTTTTTATTTAGAAGAAAAAATTGTTTAATTCGTAAAATCATTATTATTAATTTTGAAATAATTTGGAAATATATAATGGATAATTTAATTGCTAAACATGAATTCTTTTTAACGAGAGATATTCATTTTTTAAATCTTGTGAAAATATAATACATTGTACAAGTGTATTAAGTATTCTTAACACAAAAAAAAAAAATTCCTTTTTTAAGCTTACATTTGGCACGTATGCTTTGGCATATGGTATCAATGACGCATAATTCTGGCACGCGTATCAATTTCTAAATGACCTTCAATGCATAAACTTCCTGTATTGATAAATAACAGTCTCATAAAAGTCAAAAGTATATATCACCATTTTAATTTTTTATTATAAATAAAAAAATTTAAATCATATTAAAAAAAAAATAAATTCTTAAAGAAAATATAAAAGTGCATATTAATGTTATTGTACAAAAGCAAGTTAATAAATAATAACGATAAGTGAATAAAAAGTAGCACGTAAATACAGTCCTTTTTAATTAACTTTTTAACGATCTTAATGAAAAGATTTCGATTTATGGAATCAATATTTACTAAAATATATTTGACAATAAATATGGGTGAAAGAAATATCGGTAACGAATCCTATATCAGAGTTCAAGGTGATAAAGAAGAATAAAGTTGCATTGTCACAAAGCATTGCCTTTCAAATTGAAAGAAATGTTAAACATGCTCGACCCTTGCGTCTTTTTTTTTAGAAAAAAAATCATATTGACAAACATTTTCTATTTTATCTTTATGTAGTACTACGCAGAAAATCATTATATTGAAATATTGAAAATTTAGAAAAAACAAAATAATAAATTTTTGACAAATATTTATATTAATATTAGATATTTGAATATTAATCAATCTTTTAATAATTAAATATATATTATATTATTAAATTGTCATGATTGGTTAATATGATTTTATATATATTGTTTTTTTTTAATTAATTTTAAATATCCCGCCATTGTAGAAGACAAGACGATTGATGAATGATTAGCATAATTTAGTATATTCCAAATATACTATATTATATGTAATATGTATGTCAATGAACAAATATTGAATTATAGACTTTATTCTTGTGCCAATTAATTAATCAATCAATTAAGTTTTCTAGAAATTTGTGTATAAAAATTAGTATTTAAATCAAACAGTCACGCCATGTGCTTCCCGGCAACTTCCGTCGAGAGAACAAATGTCGACAAAACGTTCTTTCTTTAATGGTTAAAAATTCGATAACAATGCAATGTATCTTATCCTAACAGTGATTATAAATAAACGAAAGTATAAAATGCGTTTCAGACTTACCCCTGTCAAACTTCTTCCCTTCTGGATCGATGTCTTTTACGTTGAAAATATCCTCGAACAGCACACCCGCCATTTTAGACACTTCTGATGTTGCTGCCCTCTAGTAGAGAATGTTAAATTTACCTCTGAAAATGTAATTTTAAATGACTGTAGTTCAAAAATGCATAATATTCGTAACTTAAAATTTATGAAATGCATATAGTATGAAATATATCGATGTACAATTTTTATTCCTTTTCAAGGATAATATTTTTTTAAATGCTTATGTTGAAATAAAAGATTGATATTATTTTAAGACGTATATCTGAAAATATCTGAAATAGTTGATATTTTTATGATTATAGTCATAAATATTTTATTTTATGCAAAATATATTTTATTTTTTGAAATAATATTGGTAATTTTTTGAAATTTTTTATTGATAAAAGAATCATGATAGTGAATAATAAAGTAATTTTTTTGTATTTCTAGTAAAACATCAATACAATTAGGAAGTAATGTTGTTTATTAGATTTAAGACTCAGATAACCTTGAACTCGATTTGTAACAATTAAGAGGGAGCCACTATACAGGTTTACAGTTTTTACGCAGTAAAATTATCCTTTTACGCAGCTTAAGAGGGTCCTATCATGATATATGTATAGCAATAAGTCTCGACATTGATATAACGCGTTACGTAAAATTAGGCATTTCATAATGTTGCACAATCATCAGAAAATTTGCAAAAAATTAAATACGAAAGATTATACAAAAAGTATATCAAATACAACAAAAAACAATTTTATATTTGACAGATTTTTCTAATTTATTTTTACACTGAATATAATTTTAAATATATAATATACTATATTCTCTCATTTATAAACTGCAAAGTATATGTGCTTTTAAAAGATTTTCATTTTCAGAAAATATTCATAATATATTGAATATTTTAACGTGTAATATTTTACATTGTTGAATTATATAATTTATTATATAATTATCAGAAAAAATAAAATAATTTTACCTTTTTTAAATAATTTCTTTATAACCAATAAGATTTCAACAATTTTTTTGTTCCTTCGACTTAGAATAGAGGTCAACACAAATTGGGATGACAATGTAGCGTCATCTACCATGATTATTTGAAACAATATCTACCAAATAAAATATGGCGGTCCTATGGATGCTTCCACAAAGAGCAAATAAAAAGATAATTATTTTTCTGATATTTTTCGTTATTTAATATGAGTGATGAAGAAGATGTTCTTCTTAACGAAGATAAAGATCAGGTAAATGTTTGTATTATTATATTTCTTTATTATTTTATGAACTGCATATAAATTAATTGCTCATATATAAATAGGTTATATTTATATTCATGAAAAAATAAAAAACATAATTAAAATTTAAATTCTATAAATGAATATGTTTTTATTAATTAGGATCAAATTAGGTCGGAACTTTCACAAATGAGTTTTGAAGATTTACAAAAACTCAAAGAAAAATTAGGTAGTAAAATATATAAAGAAACGTTGTTTGGTCCACGAAAAGTTAAAAAAATTAATTTCAAACGGGAAAATAAAAATAGACCTCGTGAAGAGTCTGCAAAAAAACCTGTTTCTCGATTCAGAGAAATAATACATGTGAAGAAAAATATTCCAAGAGATCCTCGATTTGATAGTTTGTGTGGTACATTTGATCAAAAGCGTTTCAAAAGAGCTTATGGATTTATTACAGAAATGAAAGAAAATGACCTAAAAGAATTGAGAAAGCAATTAAATGATACTAAGGATCCAAAAAAGATAAAAAAAATTAAATATCTTATTCAACGATTGGAAAATCAATTACACGAAGAGAAAAGAAAACAGGAGGAAGAAGAAAAGAAATATCAAGAAAAGAAAGAGCTTATTGAGATCATCAAACGTGGTGAAAAACCTATATTTAAAAAGAAATGTAAGAAGATATAAAAGATATAATACGATATAGTAAATATAATTTTACTTAATGTCTTAATATTAAAAAATTTTTTTTCTGTTATAGCGGAAAAACGATTTTTGAATTTAGTTTCTCAATATGAGGAATTGAAAAATAGAGGTAAATTGAAAAAACATATTCAACGATTGCGTAAAAAAAATCTACATAGGGATAGACAAAAATTGACATCAGCCGAACTTGAATGAAAGAACACAAAAGTATTTGTGAAATTAAAATTTATACAAATGAAATATGATTGGAATAATTACAGATATATAAGCATAATAAATGCTACAACAGTTAGAATTGATTGTTTTTCATTCATCTAATCATCCTGCATCATAACTAATAATTTTGCGCTGAAAGTACTAATCAGGAAGATAGGATAAAGAGTGCTTTATTAATTATGTATTTTTTATTTAACATCAAAAGTAATGACACTTGGGTTGGACAATGTCTCTCGTTTCTTCCTTAATATAATTCACGTGTGAAAACAGAACTTACAGAATAATCAATATGAAAGGAATCGTCAATCAGAAGAGATAGTTTGGTAGAGCGGTGTACAATTTTTTTTCATTTATCTCTGAGCGTGTACGTGTGTATATTTCTCTCTATGTCGCATGTGTTTCACGGCATGTGTGGTGTGTATGTGTGTGAATGTGTATCATATATGCGGCGCTAAAACGAAAAACAGAAAAAGAGTATGAGACCCGCACGCAAAAGACGGTCCGTTTAAACCGACCATCTTCTTGTGGGTCATCGTTCATGCGCGATCCATTTGTCCGTCTGCAATTATTTAAAATATGTACAATATTAATAAAACATCATTCATTTTTTGTTTATATTTTAATCATTCAATGATTCTGTCGTGATGTGGCGGGCTGTGCAGGGGCGACGTTTCACAGAATTCTCGTGACACTGTTCTTCGTTATTATTTTATGCACTTTTTTACCTCTTCTTTTAATTCATTTCTTTTATTTTCAGATTTTTAGTTTTGATTCGAATGTTTCACTGCCAATTGTATTGTTCGATTAACGGCAACAGAAAAGCGAAGAATCCGTTATATTAAAAAACACACGTTCTCTCGCCCACATTCACGCGTTTCTTTTTCTCCCGCTCTTTTACGCCGATTCACGCGAAAAAACAGTTTTGCGACAATTGCATTATTTCTGACATTGATCGAAGTTATTCGTTTGCAGAACACGAAAAGATTTGCGACTTTGTGTGCCGAGGATTGTCTTTTCCTAAGAATCCGCGGATTTAGTAAAAGAGAGGAAAAAAAAACGATGACGTCGCCGAAATGAAGAAATACAATATGGCCGCAAATCTATCCGCGTAACCGGAAACGTAGCGAAAATTAGGTAAGGGAAAAAAACACGGTTTCGCACGAAAAGGATCACTAAAGATGTACATATGTCTAAATATGACACGGTTTCAAGAAAAAAACAAAAAAGGAAAAAAACCAATGTATCACGCGTACAGAACGAAGCAAAAGCGGATTCTCTCATTTGTGTCCCGCTCAGTCCGCCGCAAGATATTGTGGTCTTAGACCGAATTTTTCCTCTTATCATCACTTTTCCTCGATTTTCTATTTTCTCTCTCTCGCTCTCGCGCTCTCTCTTTCTCTCTCCTTACTCTCGTCGTCGTCGTTATACTCTTCATATCTTCATCTTTGTTCTCTTTTTTTTTTGTTCGCTTATACGTACTTTGTTTTTTTCTTCAACAACACGATCTAGACTAAACCATATATAATAATTACATCTAATAATATCTTATTGTAACATGTATTATATTATAATTATTATTATTATATTATTAATGTTTAAATTATTAGCCTAAAGTAAAGAGGCGCACGACGGCAAAGCATTTTTTGGGCTCCTACGCCCCCCGGGCACGGAACACCCTGTCGACAAACCACGGATCGTTCGATCCAGCATTTAACTCGGGAGCGATTTTATAGAAACAAATGGGCCAATGCATCATCCCCCCTCTCGTTTTATATATATTTATATATATATATACCTTCCTATAACTTTTCTATCAGCATATCTTCTTTTTCTTAGATCATATTTCTCTTCTTTTATTCGCGTCCTATTTTGAAACACGGGGATCCGCCGAAGGCAATCTATTTTCCTTTTTTTTTTTCCTCCATTTTGGTTCGATTTCGTTGTGACAGGAATGATCGATTTTTCTAATAACACACACACGGAGCTATCGGTATACACTATCCCGCAACGCGAAACCAAGAAACATTATGACAACGTAATTAACTGGCTTAATATTGAACAGCTCTTTGTTTTCCAACAGCTAGCACTGATGATTGATTTTTTTTTTTTCAACTGATTTGTCTTCTTCTTCCGCTTGCTGGAAGAAGAAAATAGGGACGTTTTTTTTTTTAAATATTATCATTTTGTTTAATTTTTATTGGGGGTCTAATTCAAGTCCGAGTTCGACGAGCAACGCAACGGTACACTGCTGCCCTCTTTCCGTTTCTCTCCCTCACTTTTTCTTTCTTTTTCCTTTTAAAAAGTTGTCGGTTGGATTCGAATTGACGATCCATGTGTCTCAAAAACGATAAAGCTTCACCTGTTCCATCGAATTTCTCGATTGAATTCATATTTCAACATTATTTATGTTTATAAATGGGTTCAAATGATTCGACCAGCCTTTCGCGCGCACAACAGAGAAAAATCATCGGAAGGGCTGGAGGAAAATTGTAACCCTTGGAATATAATTTTTTATATTCGCGAATAAATCGAAATTCAATGGAATTGGCGAGTGAAGAACGTGTTACGCGTGTACGGCACCTCGAGAACACCTCGATTATTGAACACTTAGGGTAGTTTTGGGGCCAGGGCCGCCGAGTGAGCGTCACCCTTTGTCTACCTGAATCCTCGACCGGTCCATTCGTCTTGATTCGTGCGGAACAGTGGAACCAGAGAACGTGGAGTACCCATCGAGGCTGTTCGTTGATTTCCAATATCGTCGGAACCACATGGCGATGATAAACTTTGACAACGAGTTTGTCATTACCTACGCTCCGCCCCGGTTTTCCGCTTAAAACGAAGCGCCCTCTTCACCGACGTTGCCAGCGCATGCGCGCATGTACACACCGAAAAATCGCGAAAGCGAGCAACAAGGATTAAAACTGACGTAAGCAAAGAGAAACGAAAACAGATTTTTTTTGTATGCGTTTGTTTTTTCACATTTAAGAAACTCGAAACAAGCCCTGACATGATCGCACGTCTCGGATCGTCCCGGCCCGAAAAGTCGCGTGGCAGGTATTTTAAGTCACCTTCGTTTATCGTTTTTTTGTTTTACATTTTTTTTTTTGTGTGTTGTTGTTGGTGGTTTGTTGTTGCTCCTAAAAAAAATTCCAAAGGGCGTTGTTTCGATACTGTCACACACATACACACGACAGACCACGGGTTGGTGGTACAGGGCGTCCTGCGTTCGGGGGTCAATATGATTTATAGCGAGCTGTCCCGCTGGCGTTTTTAAACCTATGAAGAAACTAAGAGAATGAATTTATATCTTTTTTTTCCTTTACTTTTAGTTTCGCCTAAGTAAGAATTGTTTTTTTTTTTTTTTCCATTTGTCTGTCTTATTTCTCATTTTCATTCTTCTGTGCTTCTCCTATGTCGTTACCATCCTCTACTAGCATTTTTAATATCCTGTTATCTCGACTATCGTAGCGCCTTCACCCAGGAAACTACAAGGCCCCGGAGCGGCGTAGCTATTTAAAATTCTCGCTCTTATTAATGTCTATTTATTTCCCGTTTTTCTTTTTCAATCAATAACTTCGTAATTCATTTATCCAGTTTTGTCAATAGTATTGTGGCACGCAGTTCATCTAATTCAACGGTTACCAAAACTGTGACCGCCGCTTTACCATTTTGTAGCGCGCAACTTAAATAACACATATATCTTCTTTATTCTTACTATTTCTGTCCTCTTCTTGTTTATCTAGTTTCCTTTGTATCTTTTCTTGGTAGTGATTCAATTGATAGGTACTCATCATACTGTCTGTTTGCCTTTATTCCCCGTGTTCGCCCCCGCGCATCTAATATTTTTTTCATTCTTTTCTTTACAGTTCCTTCCTGGCTTGTTCTTCCTTCGCGTAACGATTCTCACATAGAGATTCACAAACTACTAAAATATTTATACGATGCGAGTTCTGATCTCGATAGCTACTCAGATTTGATTTTAAAGATTCGAACCGAATTTACTTGTAATAAGAATAATAATGAGTACTGAATAACGCGTTTTCATTACTTTTGCATACTTATTTTTCTTACGCTCTTCTTTATTTAAATTTCTTATTTATTCTCTTTCCCTTTTATCCTCTCTCCCTCTTTGGCGCGTTGTGAATAACTTCTTTCTAGGGCGTGCCAATCTAGCGTACTGAATTTCTCGTTTTATTTTATTTTATTTTATTTTATTTTTCTTTAATTAACAATTAAGAAGTTTCTATTTAAGAATGTAGGTGTCACGAGACGTCTATATGTAAATACGTTTCTTTCATGTATGTCGATTGCGAATGATATTCTCGTTATTGATTTTTAAACTTCTGCATCAGTGTAACATTTATAATACCGCTCTTATTTATTTATTATTTTTTTTTATACCGTGACTACATTGCATTTTTTAATTTTTTTTTTTTTAAACTCTTAACAAGGGCGTGCCAATCTAGCGCAGTGATCTTTGCTCCTTTTACTTAACGGGATGCCTATATGAATATTTTTTTTTTCTCTGATATCACAAGACGTCTACGGAATGCTCCACGATGCTAATTATCCGCTTTTTTTTTTTTTTTTTCTTAAAAGGTTCATCCATGTCGTACACCCGTCGACGTTCATACGGACGTGCGCGTTATCCGACGATTTGTCGCCACTCTTTGTATCCCTCGATTTCCAAAAAGATACACGGGTGTCCTCTGCCAATACTTGTACCTTCCTTTCACAGTTATCCTCATCTTCTTGGTGATACCGTCCTACGCCATATTTTTCCTCTCTTTTGATACTCGTGCTTAGGCCCTACTACAGACATCCTTTTTCTTTTTTTTTTTTCTTTTTTTCCCTTACTCGTTCGATCGCCGATAATCCAATGGCAGCACCAACCCCTATAACCCTCGTGAATCGTATCAAACGTTGTGTGTACCCGGAAGCTCGAAGTCTTCCCGACGACGTTGCTCGTAGAACCCTTTTTTCTCTTCGTCGATCCCTTCGATGTTTCTCGAACGACAATCTCTGTTTAATGATACACCGGCACGCGCGTGCAAGCAACTCGCAGAGCCAGAACGACGAACGCATTTTGTTCTTTCTCATGCACATCGTTTTCTCGTCTCTCTTCCTATTTTATTTATTTATTTTTTTTTTTTCATTTTATATTTTGTTTTTCTTTTTTTTGTACTTCACACACCGTGTGTAACGAGAGTGCTCGTAAGCCACTTTTTCTACTCCCACGCGAAGCATTTTTTTTTTTATTTATATATATATATTTTTTTTTTAAATTTCTTCAATGAAACAAGACTGCAAGACACTCTATACTGTAATTATTATGGCGATGATCGTTCGACGATTCGGCTCGGCTGATGCGAATTGTCCCCATCTGAATATATCTCGTTATTATTTCGCGACAGTTAAACCCGAATAGCACGCCCCATGATAAAATATGTATACATGTGTGTGTGTCTCTGTGTGTGTGTGTGTATGTGTCTGTGTGTGTGTGTATATATAACGTGAGTGATTTTTTAACGTTTTCTTTTTTTTTTTTTTATTCCATTGTTCGGTTGTATCTTCTTTTTTTTTTCTTTTTTTCAAGTTTTATTCGTTTTTTTTTTTTCTTTACTTAGTTTCTCGGTGTATATCTGCGTGGGTAATATGCATATTTCACTCTCTCTCTTTCTCTCATCATTCTCTCTGCATCTCTCGCTCTTGTAACTCTTGCGCGCGCGCTCTGCGTGTATGATTAAATTTTCCTTCGCGTCTAATAGTAAGTTTCTTGCTCGAGCCAGCCTCCTGGATTCCGGCGGAGGTAGAATCGTCTCGTCTCGTCGTAGATGAAGATGGCGAACATGAAGGGAAGGGCGGGCAACCACCAAACGAATCTGAAACACACCACCAATGTGATACCTGTTCCTTTCGTTATGATATTTTATATATGTATATATTTAATTTCTTCTTTTATATCGAAGAATACGCGTTTACTGGAAGAGAAATTGTTTTTTTGTTCTCTTATGGAAGCAAGATTCGTCGAACAAAAAATAGACAGAGCTCACTTGAGAGGGAACATGCGGAGACCCTTGTCCATGCCGGGTGTGTAGCTTAGGAACGCGGCGAGGGCGGTCTCGAATATTAAACCAAAGTTGAGGGCCCAGTTTCTCATTCCTTGGTGGATGATGGAATTACGTCGCGTCTTACATACGATCAAATCGGCCCATTGAACGATAACGATCGAAACGAAGAAGGCTGTGTGGCAGGTAAATTCGAGCGTTTTACGATCCCTGTACGTCTGAAGAAAGGGAAGAGAAAAACATTGATGATGAGATACCATTTTTCTTCTTTTTCGTAGAAAAAAGTTAAACATTGGAGAACTTTCGTGGGGAAAATTTGTTCGAAAATTATTTTTCAAATCGAATGGGGGAATTAATTTACCCATTCCTGGCCGTAGCTGTCACGAAGATCGTTGATTGCCTTCGAGTCCCATTGTTTTCGAATGCCGAAGAGATGCAGCGGCAGGAATCCGTTCTCAGCCATGATCACGAAGTAGACGAAGAAACCGGCGGCTGCCTGGATCATACCGATCTGACCATACGCCATCGAAATAAGCCTGTGCATAGAGAATCGAATTTAGACGATTGTCGGAGGATGGATTTTGCGACGAGGTTCTGACTTTCAAGGAATTCTTTCCCATCTAGATCTTGAAAATTAAAAAAGAAGAAAACATTTAAAAAACAAAATATTCAAATAGAAATGCAAATTTCTATATTTAGCTAGAGACTATTTACGAGTTAGTCTATCAGGGAGAACGATCTAAAGAAGAAAGGATCTATCTAATTAGGATATTTAGCCGCTTTACTACTTTCATTAAAATATATATTTTTAAATACATATTTTCTTTCTCAACTATTGGAAACTCTTTGAAAGTCAGACGAAGCACTGTATACGTGTATGCCACTAATCATCTAAGTTCGCCTCTAACAGCCTAAGGTGGTGTTAATAACTAAACTACGGAAGCCGTAGTCACCTAGGATTGAAATGCGGATTACTTACCGAATGTAGGCGGAAACACGATCGATTCTTGACACTGAGGCATGCCACACAAAGCACACACACATTTCACATTTCACTGGATGCATGGCCAAGCCTCACGGTGCACGATTTGGGGGGGAAGAAAAAAAAAAAAAAAATAGATCGAGCAAAGAATACGTGCAAAGTGTACATGCAAAATTCGCTCGGTCGAACCGTGAGATTTGGCGTTAATTTAATTAGTAAACGTATCGAAGCAGCGACAAGTATCTTCATTAGTATCTGTGTGTTTTAATTGAATCGTGGAGTTGAACAATGGATTAATCGTTTCTAGAAATTTTTAAAAATTTATCGTTGGCGGACTATTATTATTATTGTTATACCTTCAACTCATTTCTCGTCCTTTGATTTTTCAATGAATAGAAAATACCTTTTTCGAGTTATTACTTTAAAACTTCAAATTGATTAATTTTATTTGCATTAACTATTCTCGGTTAAAAAAGGCAGAGATTACTTCTCTTCCACGTGACTTTTCCATCAATCTCAATGTTTTCGAATTAATTATTTTAAATTGCTCTAAATTTTTTTTCAAACAGAAATGACCAACTCCACACTGATCGACTCCACAATAAGCGGCATTCCCGGCATGCAACAGGCCGCGCGTGTCACGCATTATCATCAGTCAGTTGTTAGCTTGGTAAGGCGTTGCAGATCGAGTAATAGTAGTATGATAATAATAGTTAAAAAAAGAAAAAAAAAAAAAAAAGAAAGAAAACTAAAAATCATATAGAATCGCGTGTAAAGCGCGCTGCCAATGGCTCGATACGAATCGGTAAGAATCAGGAGAATAGAGAAAACAGAGCGGGCGTAAGAAAAAGGCGTCGAAGACTATGGAATAAAAATTACAAGCTGTTAGTGACCCACTATCTCTCGTTCGTATTATTACGGTTTCACGTGACAGCCTTGTAGCGTAATCGATTCGTTAATTTTTAGCTTAAACGCTGCTGCTCTCTATAATAAGGCCGTGCTGTATTTGTGTCATTAATTATTAATATTTGTATCGTTAAGTTAGTACAAATATATATCGCTAAGTTCAAAGCAGCTCAGCTGTTGCTCGCTCTTTTTTACTTTTTCCATTCGTTTTCTCTCTACTATTCTATATTTTCTTCTTTTTCTATCGTATCTTTTTTTCTTTTTTTCTAGTACACTTTCTAAGCTCCAGCTTTAGTATCGCACACATACGTAGTGCAAACGTTATAAAAATGTGTGGTTTGGAGAAAAAAAAATGAAAAAAAAATAAGCTGCTCGGACCGTAAACGGTCTTTCAATTAGGCGCAAGACGAATCTTAGGCGGTTAGTCTCGTTTCGAATCGTTTGGAATGTATAATTTTTTTATTTTTTTTCACTAAGTGTGGCTAAAAGCATTCGGCATTCCCAACATTGTTATTTTCCTAGATTATAGATACTTGCTTGTGCTATCAACTAATCAACTAGTTTTCCTAGAGACTTTGTGTTTCTTAAGCCTTTGAAGGCGTAGAGTGTCAACCGAGACTCTTTCAGAATTTTTTTCTTCTTTCTGTAATTTTCTTTATACACTTTTTTTTTCTTTTCATCGTATATAAATATGTATACGATATTTTTTTGAATTTCTTGTGACAAATCTCTCGTTCGGATATTTAATAATTTAGATTAAGGGAAAAAAAAAAATTAAGATTAAAATTTTTCCAATTTAATTGATCTTTTTCAAATTATTCCAAGAAGAAATTGGTTCTCGATCAAATTGGATACTTGTTAACACACCACCGTGTTAAATTTTTCTGAAAACGATTTTTTACGATATTTTCTTTCCGTTTTGCTTTCCTTCTTTCGAACGGAGTGCAGACGAAAGTGCACACAATAAAAACGATATAAAAAAGAAGAACACTTCATCATTGTCGCGTGCAGTAATAAACAAAATAAAGATCAAGCGAGTGACCATCGAGACAATGAGAGATCTGTAGTTCAGAAAACAAAATATACGATTCCGACATTTCAGTAGACACTCTGTCAATGAAGTGTAACAATCATGTGTCGTGTGTGTGTGCGCGTACGTGTGCGTGCACGCACACGTACGCGTCGAGTACGATGCGCGAAATAGATCGAATATGACGTACGATTGATTTGGCAAAATTTTCATTATTCAATAATTTGAACAATAGTTTCGAAATAAATATGGATAACGATTAATCTGAGAACGTGAACTGTTTAAAAATTCGTCAGAGATGTTCCATGCGAAGAATCATTTATTAAATAATAGAAAATCATTAGCTAATCTTAATTTATTAGAGAATTCAATAATGTTTAAATAAAAATATTCAATTAAAAACTGACGAGTTTTTAAGATTGTCATTCTTAAAAATAACATAGAAAATCAAAGTTCCACGATTTATCTCGGACATCTCCAATAAAAATTCTAAAATCGCTTTTTTAAAAATTTCCAATCGACGTCTCGTCCAAATAAAAAAAGTTAAAAAAAAAAAAAAGAACAAACTACGTCTCCCAAAATAATCATTAATAAATCATTCGATCATTTCCAATCCGCATCATATCGGATCGATGGAAAATTTGCATCTTAACATTTTCATGTAATAAATTCATTTCACGATTGAAAAATATTCTTAATTCTAAATTAAATTCATACTTGGCCAATTTTAAATTATCACGTAAGTAAAAACCAATAGATAAAAAATCGCTACAAATTATAACGATATACATATTGCACCAAATTAATCTATCTTTCCGTTCACGAAACCGATATCACTTTTCCACCGATCCAATGTGTATACGTACTCTCTGTATAAGTATGTGTCACGCTTGTCTCTATGTACGTTGCGTGTACGTGTCCTGTTATTAACGTGTCATGGCGTCTGCAGCATGGATGTGAGTGCATGGAATTTTTCTGCTAGGTAGTAGTAGTAGTAGTAGTATATATTGGTTTCTCTGGTGGGTAGTTGGGAGACCCACCTTCGGTTGACAAGATTGTCTCTGTAAGGATCGCGGGGCTGCCGTTTCATAATGTCCGACTCCGGTGCCTCGTAAGCTAGCGAGATGGCCGGCACCTGCCATCCACCATTGATTAGAAAAAAAATACGTGTACCAGGCACCCCGTACACCGTACAAGATAGTATAGATAATATATATATATATATATATGTACATGTATGCATATTTACATTATATTTACAAGATTTAAATTGTGCGCCGGTGCATTCAAAAGAGTCAGGAATCGTCACGTGACCTGGATTGGAACAAACATGGCCGACCAGAGAAAGAGATATATATATAGGTTAGAATCTTCTTTTATCTTTGGATTTTCCATTTTGGCCCCTTCTTTTCACGTTTCATCCAAAAGAAAATTAATGAGAAATCGAGGAACTTTTCTTTTGGAGGAAAATACGGTAACTGAATATTGTTTAATATTCGTACAATTATCGTATAATTTTATCTATTCATTTTTTCCACGGGAGAATTGTGAAGAAATTTTATCAATCATCGCGAAATTTACCAGATCTGATTAATCTGTATTATTATAAAAATATTGATAATGTTATTATTATTTCAGTTTCTTGTTTTCCAAATTCCCTACTCTTTCGTGCACCCCGAGTAAAATTCAAGCTTCATTTTTGTTAGTATCTTCAGGCACGTGATCCCTCGACGCACAGAGAGACTGATTTGTTAAAAAAATTCGCTTTTAAATTTTTAAATATTTTATACATGGAAAGATAATTTAAACGTAGTTTAATCTTTAAAAAAACGGACGATTTCAATTCGAAAGACGATCAGTTTTTCAAAAAGAATGATAAGGACAGGCTCTCTAACGCACGAGGGATCGACAAACAACCTTGTTCCTCCCCTGTTATCATATAGAAATGCAGATCGGGTCGGGTTGAGGGTCGAGGCGACGATTAGCAAGAAATTTTCGTTCGGTAAAAAAGGTAGGTATTCTCATAATAATATAAAAAATATATATATATTCTTGTTCGGCGGTCGTTAGAAAGTTGCCAGTCGCAGAAGTGGTAGAAGGCAGCGGCGGTAGGCACAGCGCATTACAGAATAAAATGTGAGAGGACTGTAAAGAATAAAAAACTGCAAAGAAGAAATCATGACGCCTAAAAAAAATGTACAAAGTGTGCTATATCTTTTTTTCTTTTTTTTTTCCTTTTTTTTTTTCTTCTTGAGAGAGTCGACTTTTAATGTCGTTCGTCCCGATTCCATATTTTTTTTTTTTTATCTTTCTCATGATAACATTCTCTTCACTTTCGTATATTATTTTTTGCATCACTACGATATATTTTTTTTTCCCCTCAATGTCCGTTTTGCTTTTTTCAGTTCCGTTACGTTCGTTGAAGTATGCGTCTTATGCATGGATCATTACTCGTGATGGAAAGTAAAAAAAAAAAAATTAAATAAAATAAAATACTAGGTAAATATATAGGTTGAACAATGATATATAAAATACAGAAGTAGCAGCGGCACAGCTGTGTGAAAAAAAAAATATATATATATATATATGTATATATAAAAGATAGTAATGATAGTATAAAAAATTCCCGTAGCTACTTTTTTAATGATAGTAATAATAGTAATAATAGTAAATACTAGTTAACTAGTAGTAAATATGCTGGTGGTGTGTGATCACGGTGGCGTAAAATAATAATAAATAATAAAAAAAAAAAAAAAAAGAAAAATAGTCGTAACAAGAGAAGAGAATAGTGTGTTTAAGGTGAACAATCGTGAGAGAGGATCAATATATCGAGAGATAATGTGGATAATGATATCGATCATGATGATGATAATGATGATGATCAGAGAAAGGGGGTCAACGATAATTGCTAATAATACCGATGATAACGATGACAGTGATGATGATAGATTAATAACGATAATAATGATAATTATCAAGGGGATGAATAAATATGCAATATATATAGATATATAGATAATATATAATAACGACTGATCTATATAGACGGTTATATACAAATTAGAATTATTTAGAGATTCAACTAATTGCTCTCAGAAGCGATCTCTATAATTAAACTTTCTCATAATATCTTAACACGTTTTATAACGTAACTTTCTTTTTTTTAAATAAAATTGCAATATACTTTACGATTAAATCGAGAATCGTCAAGAAATAATAATTGCAAGTTGGCAAAATTATTTTTCGAATTTCGTTACCATACTTTATTCGAATTTAAACGTGTTAAAACTTATTGGAGACTTAGAGGTCGCTTCTTTCAACGAGACTCATCGACTATTAAAAGTATCGATTAAGTTCGTGATTTGATTAAAAAAAAATATCGAGTTTTTTCAAAAGACACAATCCATGGAGAACGATTACAACGAAACTGTTCTGCATCGGTCCACGCGATTCAACCGATTCTATATATATTTTTTTATACGTGTGCTTTCTCCGTGTAAACTTGTTCACCTTCTGTCACGTATGATGTCCGTTTTTGATTCGAGATCGAACAAACAAAAATAAATCACAAGCATTCTTTAGAATTAATTAATTTATTATGTGAATATATGTATATATATATATATATATATGTGAATGTTCGAGAACCATCGTCCTTAGTAAAAAATAATATTAATCGATTAATTGGAAAAAAAGGAATATGATACATCAGGTTATTGGATGAAGCAGCAATAAGAAAAAAAAAAAAGAAAAATGAACAAGGAAAAAAAATGAAGAGGAAAAAAAAAACGATTGAGATCCTTGAGTTTTCAACGAGGCAGAGCAACGACAAACTTGGCTTGTTGCGTAAAAGGCAGCCAGAGATAATGAAGGAAGAGATACACAAGACGATAAGGTTAAAAATACTTGAAAGAAATGACTAAAAAAAAAAAAAAAAGAAAAAAATATCAATGGCGTAATAAAATTGAAAAAAATACACGAAATAAAGTGATATCTCGCTAAATATGAAAATAATGCGATGATAATGATGGTGTCGTATCGGAAGTCAACGATCGGTGGAAAGTCATTTTCTATTTATCCGAATTGTGAACGATCCGAAGGAAAAATATATATATATATATGAAAATCGAGGAGAGATGAAAATCTACATTTAGGGACCTCGATACGTCATCATTGATGGAATTACTTTTTTTTTTTTAAAGTCAAAGAAGTGCGATGAAAACGAGGAGGGAATAAAAAAAAAAAAAAAGAAAGAAGAAGAAGAAGAGCTTGATGAAGGGCCAACATGGCGGATGGTCGACGGTGGCGACACAAGTTTTGAAACAAGAATAAGAGGGACAAGAATAATATCGGAGAAAAAGCCGAGCTTGGAAAAAAACGAAGTAGAGAAATAGATTCAATAGAGAAATAGAGAGAAGAGATATAGATATAGATAGATAAAGAGAAAGAGAGTGATCGGCTTACCTTTGGCATTTAACGAAATGACACACTAATTACTAGCGAAGATCATCTTTATGGAAGCGACTGTTTGACTGGCAATTACAATATCTTTCTTTTCTTTCCGTGTTCGTTCGAAAGAAGAGGAAATATCATCGAAAAGAGGAAGTTGCTCGATTGCTCGTTCCACGATTGTTTATTTAAAAAAAATTTCTTCGATTTTTTTCTTTTCTTTTTTTTTTTAAATATATTTCATATTTAATTTTTGACACATGATTTTTCGTAATCCGTTCCACGCATTTATTTTCTTTTTAAAGAGATTCTTTTGTAAAAATATTTTTTTTTTATAAAATACACAATGGAATATCCAATGGATAATCAAATGAATAAATTTGTGACGTTTCTGGTGAAACTTCTGGTTTGATCGAAAAATCGACATACACGGCTAGTCGTGGACGAGCAAACGTCATCGATCAAGATTTACAATCCATCTTTAGAGCAAATATTCGACCAGGCTCTCGAAACAAGAGAGGATAACGGAAAAAGAGTGAGAGAAAG